CTAAATGTGTTAAGTACATTACCAGCTTCTATTTTTAAATTATGTGCTCTTTCGTTACGATATAACATTTTAGATTATAAAAAAAGTATTGTTCTTACTCTTTTATCATTTAATAAAAATGGGTATTGGTATATTTAAGAAAATGAAGAATTTATTTAGCAAAGTTGGTAATACTGTAAAAAATATAGCTACTAAAGTAGTTGAAAACATACCAAAAGTTGTAGATACAGGTAGAAAGATAATAGATAAGATTAAACCTATTACATCTTATATACCTGGTGTTGGTCAAGTTGTAGATACTATAGATAAAGGTTTAAGTATAGATGATAAAGCTGGTAAAATAGGTAGATCTCTTGTTAATAATAAAGGTGAAATCAGTTATAAGTAGTTAAATCAAAACAAATAAAATAAATGTATTTAAATCAGTTTAATTATTAATAAATGGAATTGAAAGTTATTAATGAAATTGTTGATGAAATAAAAAACTTTAAATCAATAGAAGAATTTAATATGTACTATCAAAAACATAAAGATGATATTGATAACAAAACAACACAATATCTAAATAAGGTATACAAAATAGTTACTAATGATGGATCTGAATATAGAATAACAAAGAAGAATTGTTCTAAATTAGACGGTAAAATAAAAGGTGGTGAAATATATCTAAGAAAGGTTAATAACAATGATAAAAATATTAAAGAACTTGAAAATGATATTATTAAAGCTGATATTGAACAACTAAAGCTAAAAATAACAGAACTAACTTCAACAATTAATCAAATTGTACATACTATAAATCAATTATCAAATAATTAAATCTTTGAATTATTAGGTACTACAGAATGATTTAAAGTGTAAGTATGATAGTTCATTTTTTTTGTCGTTATTATTGGTTCTTTATTATGATTAATAGAACCTTTTAAATTATATTTCTTAATAATTGGACTTGAATTAATTCTAGTTCTTTCTTTTTGCATTTGTAATCTAAGTCTATCATAATAATTCATTTTATTTGAATCGCGTAACGTACGTTTTTGTTCAAAACTCATTTTTATATTAAATAAATGTCTGAGTTAAGTAATTATAAGAGTGAGATACCTGAATTAAAAAGAATAAAAAGATGTTTAAAAGAAAGATGTTATGATACAAAACAACATTTAAATAATATCAAAACAGGAATGCTAGGTTCTAATGGTTTAGCTATACGAGAAAGCTTAATTGAAGATATAAATTCATTAAAAGATAAAGTAGCAAAATTAGAAACTGAATTGAAAGAATTAACAGATAATCAATAAACATGTTTAATATAACTAAAATGTCGAAAGTATTACATAAAGCTAGAATATTAAGTTCTGAAAATGATAGTAGTCGTAAACAAGAACAAAATACTAATGTTAATATAAAAATAAAACCATCTTCTAATGTGAATTATCCAAATATTCCACCTATATCAGCTCAAATTCAAAATCAACCTTATAATGTAAATCAAGAACAACAATTACAACAAGATTCATTAACAAGAAACATAAATTTTACTCAATTGTCGGACAATTCACAATTAGCATATCAACAACAAATAAACAATACATTAGAAATAAGAAATAAATTTTTAGAAACATTATTAAGTATTTATGAATTAAACCCTATACGAGTTAATAATTATCTTGTTTGTCATTATAATTCATTAATGGAACTTATCAAAATATTAACACAAGCTGATAAAGTTGAGCTTGTTATTGATGAAGAAGAAGGTTGTACAGGTTGCATATCAAATACTAAATATATGAATATTCAAAGAATACTAGTTACTAAAGATGATAAAACACTAGATCTCAAAATAGGTTTTAATGAAACATATGCTCAATTAATAAGATATGGTATTAGTTTGAAAATGTGTATTTAAGGTTTAAAAAACGATCTTCTTATTTTTGTTTTTAGATTATTTAAATGATTACTGAATTATTATTAAGTGTTGTTGTTATTGAATTAGCTATAATTATTATTGGTTTTACTTATGATTCAACTCCTAAATTAAGTGAAGAAACAAGAGCTAAACTATATTCTTAAAAACTTTTATGACTATAAATGATGAAACCAACTCAATTCAATTATAAAGAAATATGTTTTTCAGATTCTGATGATTGTTATTTTGATGAAACTAATAATTTAGGTTCTAATGAAGATACTTCTCCTTATTTTGATATCGATATTGCTATGAATAATGCATATCGTAAAAATGAAAACAAAATAAAAGCAGAAAGTATAAGACCAATATCTAATAGTATTTATTCATATTATAATTCATTGAATATATTAGTCGGAAATCAAGGAAAAGGAAAAACTCATGTTATGTTAAGAGATGTTATTCAAATATCTAGATTAAAAGATTGTAACTTTCATTTAATAGTATATATTAGTAAAAATGGTTCAATTAATGATAGTACTTTTGAAACGCAACAAGATCTTATTCAGCTACCTATTATTGTTATATCAGATTCTAATGCTGAAAAATATTTAAAAGAACTAGATTTGTATAAAGAATTATTTGATAAATACTGTAATACACCAAAAATAACTATTGATAATGATAAGCTAAATAAAATGTTTGAGTTTCTTCATATTAATAAACTAAATAAACCAAATCAACCTTTAAATACTATTATATTATGTGAAGATTTTGTTAAAAGTAAACTAATAAAATCATCATATTTTACTAATTACATTACTCAATTAAGACATAAACATTCAATAGTTTATATTAATATTCAGTTCTTTAAATCAATATCAACTGATTATAAAAATAATGCTACTTCGTTTTTCATATTTTCTGGTTTTTCTAGACAAAAACTTAATTATATATATCAACAAGTACCAATTCAATATGAATTTGATGAATTATGGTCTTATTATAGAAATCTTAATAATCATGATTTTATCTTAGTTAATGTTCGTAATAATGATTTTAGTATTGTTAGATTCTAAATTCAAATTTATTTATTTTATTATATTTTTTTTATTCATTTTGTTCTATAACCGTCATTTTTAATACAATTACTCTTTAACCTTCATTTTTCATTTCTCATTCTTCATTCTTTCATTTCTCATTCTTTAGTTCTTCATTTCTCATTTTTTTTATTTTTTATATCTCATTTTACAAAATCACTTTTTCAAATAAATCATTTTTTTTTTACGAATACGAGATTTCAAGTATCAAATCGTCAAAAAAACGCAATTATAGCAGAATTGATGAGTTTTATCGTGATTGTTTGATTGTGTAGATTCAGTAGTGAAAAAATTCGAAATCACTACTAATGGTAGACCTACTTCTGATGACATTTTGTACTATTGCTATAAAATACATAGTGATCAGTGGGGCTAGAAGTGAAAATTATTAGGTATGCAATCCGAACATACTATTACTACTAACCCTTTTTATGACATTTTCCACCATTAAAATGAGCCATTCAAATCAAAACCATTATTTCTCAAAATTAAGCGTATGAATATCTTAAGCACCAACATATACATTAATACATATAATAAAATATCATATGGAAAAGTATTATATAAAATTCTAGGCTGAAAAAAAAGATATGATAAGTTTATATCTGAAATAAATTTTAATTTCTTTTTATTTCCGTTTATAAATCTAATTAAATTTGAAAAATCTAATAATTTAATTAATCTTATGTGTATTAATATAAATATATTTGGAATTTTCAAAAATCATAAAGATTGAATGAAATATAAAAGATATACCAGATTAAAATTTTTAAAAAATTCACAGTGTTAGACATTCTTAAAATGATTATATCGAGCAACCAATTAAAAATTATTGATTTGAATGCATATAACTTAATATTGATGGAAATAATGAGATTAGAAAAAATCAAAAAGACGTTAAGTCACTTAACATGAATACCTCTATTTGGCGAAGTGACAAAGCATTCAAATTTTTCAAGAAACTTTTTGATACACATCTCAAAGACCAATTAATCAAAAAGTGAAAGTGACGATCAAGAAAGTGATCGTTGTATTGAAGTAATATTTATTCAAACTTCGACTCGAAACAGGCACAAAGAGCAACAGAATTTGATATAAATAATCTCAGACATTGATAATAATAACGATGCGACTCGATAACTAAAATGGCGCGACTCGATACTAACAATTTAACTGATTGATGCAGATGACGACACAAACCAATATAAATGAATACCAAAATCGGCATAGACGATATGTGCCTCTATAAAAACTGAGTAAATTTGATTTCCACTCCTAAAGAAGCCGTGAAAATTTAATATGTGTGATAGAAGGCCCAGCATTTCTTGTTTAATGCATACGAACAATCAGATTAGCACAAATAAAAAGAGTATTTCTTGTTAAAAGCTTAGAAGAGCATTTAAGTCCTTCACTTTCGAAATTAAATTTCTAATTATCAAGTAAAATCTTATATTTTAATACTTCATGCTTTTTATTCATTCTTTATAAATAAAAGTTGATCTTCTTTTACCACCCTTTAAGTTTTTATATTTTTTTTCTTAGATAAATCATGAATGATAGTACATAAAATTCTAAACGACCACTTTAACTCTCAAATCAACAACTTTTTCAAAAGAGTTCGATTAAATTCTTCTCATTTTAATATAATATCATAAATTTGGTCAACAATTGCATAATACAACAATACTAATATTAGTATTATTTTTTGATCGTTTAGGACAAATATCATCATTTTTGACCTAAACTTTTTCATAATTTGGAAGTATTGAAAGATATATTCTATGAGTTTATTCAATATTGACAATTTTACAACATTTTTAAGACGGACGCCCTTAAAAAGATCCCCCCTCCCCAGTTTCTTGTTGAGTTAAATTGATACAATTAAAAAGTAATAGAAACATACATTCAAAATATTTGTATTAAAAATTCTTAATAGGTAGGATTTTCTCTATGATATCATTATTTTTTTTTTTTAAAAAAAAAAAGCAAAAAAGTATCCCCGATGGGAATCGAACCCATATTAAATGATTCGAAGTCATATTTGCTATCCATTACACTACGAGGACATCTTAATTACCTCACTTATGACCTCATATCATACTTATTATTATTTTAAAATAAACCTTGCTGAATTATTCCAAGTTATGAAAAAAAAAAAAAAAAAAAAAAAAAAAAAAAAGATCCCATACATCATCAAACTGAGGAAAAACTTTTAGTCAAATACTTATTAAATAATTTTTCTATCAAGTGCTGTTTGAGTTACCAAAAATGCAAATAAATGCTTTTTTTAATTAATCTCTTAGGCAACTGAAGCTTTTGATATTATTATCAATTATATTCAAAGAAAGAGACAAATTCTAGGGAAATATTTTTTTTGGGGAATACTTATCGCCCCCGATACTTATTGACCCCGGAGGTTAAGGTCAATATTGACCTTAACCTCCGGGGTCAATAAGTATCGGGGGCGATAAGTATTCCCCATTTTTTTTTTTTTTTTTTTTTTTTTTTTTGGATGTAAATCACATTTTAAAAAATAGATTTTAGAAATAAAATATTTTGTGCTATTGGCATGTCCTCCCCTTTTCGTTTGAATTGTTTCATAGAAAATTTGCTTTATTCTTTAATATGAAACCAATTCATAATATTATATTTTTAATTCTTTTTTCCACTTTTGAGAAATGAATAAATATAGTAAAACAAAATATATGAATAAATATCTTCTTAATTTAAATTAATACTGATTACTCTTTTTTCAATGGAATGCTCGGTAAATCATAAATATTATGGTTGCAAATAAATTGAATTCGGGCTTTAAAGCTTCCTTCTCAATTTAAAATAATAATATCTTTATATATTTAATATGAATTCTTTTTTTATAATTTAATTAATATTATGATAATTATTAAATATATTATTAATGAAGAATTATGCAATTAAATTGTTTGATTAAAAAGATAAAATGATTTAATATTTGAAATGGAGGTAAAGTTTTTTAAATTTTTTATAAAGTAAAGAAAAAGTTCTTTTCGCTTTATAATTATTCTCATTTATATCAACATTTTGCAATAAATATTAAAGAATCATTTTGTAAGGATATGTATTGCAAGCATGATGAGATTATCTAAATTTATTTATTTTTTTTATTAATTGTTTCAGAAGTCAATTCAAAAGAAACGATGATTTATAAATAAAAGAGAGTCCAAAATATTTTTTTCAAAATATTTACTTTGTGGTTGGAAGGAAAGTTTGTCTTCAGAATAAAACATCACTCAAAATACTATTGATGTAAAAAAATAGAATAAAATATATTTGCACTATTTTATATCTGGTCAAAGCTATTAAAAAGTTCTATTCATTACACTTAGTAAAAATTGAATTTCATCATCCATATTCAAAAGAATATATTCAAAAATCACAAATGTGTACCAAATTAAAGAAAAGTGTTGCTCAAAAACTTAGTAAGATTATACTTAATTTTATTTGATTGCAAAAAAAAAATATATATATATATATATATTGAAAATTGTGGATTTAAACTTTTTGAATAGCGAATAAGTAATCAACCGTTTATTTTTGTTTTGATGATATATCAGTATATCAAAAAATAACCTATTTTTTTGGTTCGATTCGAATATATATATATAATTATATAATTAATAATAACATTTAAATGTTTTTTATATTAAAATTACAACTATTTATTATGATGTAAAAAAATATCTGCTTTATTCTATATTATCAAATAATTCTAAGGAGATATACCAATACATATATTAAATCTGTCAAATTCCAAACTATTTTTAAGTCAAAATAATGAATATTTTATTTAGTTTTAGTTTTCAAAAAGTTCCAATTCCACCATTTTTTCAAAACAATTATTTATTTTATAGTAACATTTGAATACTTTTTAAGAAGCACTGAAAAATGAGATATCTCGTTAAAAATCACAACCATTATAAATATTTGTTTTTGAAACATATTTGTTTCCATTATTACTGATAAAAGAAATAATTAAGTTATTTTATTTGAATACAACCTCTTAAAAAAGTTATGTGACCTTAACATCGATGAATTAAACTTTTTTTTTTGGATTATTGATAAAAATTGAACCATCTTTCAATTTTTGAATACCAACTTTTTTTTATTGAAAAAAAAAAAAAAAAAAAAATTAATTGATACAACCAATTCATTTCATTAACGAGAATGAATTATGTTAATTATATTATACCTGTTGTATATCCTTGTTATACAATTGGTATAAGTACTATTGCTCCTAATCATCATGTTATTCCATTTCCACAAATAAACTATACACAAGTTTATTTGGATAATAATCAGAATGAGGCTGAAAAAAAGCCAATATGTGAAGATGATGATGAAGAAGTGAAAGAAGAAACTAATAAAGAAAAAACAAAAAGAAGAAGAAAACTATTCACCAAAGAAGAAGATGAGAAAATAAAAAAATTAACAGAAAAATATGGAACAAAACAGTGGAATTTGATAGCAACATTTGTTGAAGGAAGAACTCCAAAACAATGCAGAGATAGATATTGCAATTATCTTTTCCCTGGCATTTTCAGTGGTGAATGGTCTATTGAAGAAGATGAGCTGTTAATAAAACTTTATCAAAGATATGGACCAAGATGGACTGTTTTGCAAAGATCATTTCCTTATCGAAGTGCAAACACTATTAAAAACCGTTGGGATTTCTTTCTTTGCCGTCATAATAATCAAAATGATAAAAATAGAAGAGAATTATCTAGTAGTTGCATGAAACCCAATCATGAAATAATTGAAAAAGAGAATTATGAAGAACAATCTCATGATCATAATGTTAAAAACAATGAATTAGATAATACAAACATTGATAGCTCATTTGGGAGTAAAGATGATGATTATTCAAATTTCTTTGAAAATAATCTCAATGATGAATCTTTTGAATTGGCTCAAAATGATAATATTTATGAATTATCTAATGGCTGGTATGAATTTTTTTAATCAAATGATTAAATTTTTTGAAAATCAATCATTAAAAATTATAAAATATTTTTAAAATTTTCTTGTTATTTTAAATGCTTTTCATTTATTATGAATCACTATTATATTATTATCTTAAATATATTGGTATCATTGTGCTTATCATAAAGATACATTGAGAAAAAACTAATTTTTATAAAAAACCACTATGAAATTTTGAAAGAAAAAATAAATGTAAAATACTGAATGTTTGAATAATGAACTATAGCTAATATGTATTATTAATGTTCTTTTGTTCTATAAACATAGAAGCATGATTTTTAATTGATTATTTTTTACAAACAGAAAAAGTTATATTCATTTCTTTTAAATTAGAAACTTTTTGTGATGTTTCTTGATTAACCTTTTATCGGCTCATTTTAAAAGAAAACTATTCCACATCCAAAATTGAAATTAATCATATTTTATCGCATATAAATAATATCTTATACAATTGTTATACTGAGCTATAAAGTATTATTTTTGTTTAGAAAAAGTCACAATCTAAAATATGATTTTTTACTTATCCATATAAAAAAAGTAAAATATTTTATTAATGAAAGCATAATCAAAGAAATTCGATGCACCAGTGCTTTGTATATATTTGTTAGTATTATTAATAATACCTGTATTTTAGAATAATTTAATGATTCACATAAATTATCTGAGAAAATCTTGTATTTTTATCTCCACAAGCATTATTGACTTTATTAAATGAAATAATCAATTAATTTGATAAATTTATTACTATATCAGATTCAATTATTAAAGCATATATCCATTTTCTAAAAAGTATTAAAATATATGTTTACCTTCTTATTAGTTAAGGTTAATTCTTGGTTTGTTATTTCATCTTTTTCTCAAATGTTCAATGAATTTGATTCAAACCAAATCAATCAATATACAGGTATCGCTAAGCAAACTCGGGTGATTTGCTAAGCAAACTCAGGCAGTATTCAAATATTCAATTTTTTTTGAATGAAAAAAAAACTCGTTACAGCGGCTCTGCTAAGCAAACTCAGGCAATTGTAAAATCATTTTGAATTAATTTTTTTTCAGCGCTAAGCAAACTCAGGTATTTAAATAACTTTTTCAATTAATTTTGATCGTTTCTATTATTTTTTATATTTATGGGAAAAATGATTTAATTAAGCTATATTCTAAAAAATATTTAAAATATGATTTGAAAAATTTAAGATATTTTTATTTTTTTTCAGTTCACCATTTGCTAATCAAACTCAGGGAAATGACGTTAAAAAAATAAACGGTCAAGTGAGTGATAAGCAAACTCAGGCAATTGCTAAACAAACTCAGGTAATTGCTAAGCAAACTCAGGCAAAAAATAATCAAAAAAATGAATATATCTTTTCCATCTGAAATTAATTCTCGATTTTTTTTGTATATTTATAATTTTTTTAACATAATATGGATCAAAATAAAATATTGGATCAATTTATTTAATAGCGATATAACTTTTCTGGAAAAAATTGTCCTTTTAATTAATCACTAAATAGAACAATTCAATATGACCATGTGATGATGGTAATCAAAATATTTATTTTTTTTCTCAAGCCATGAAATTTGAGATATTTTTTTGAGTTATAAAAAATCTTCAAATTTAAATTATATATTTTACAATGGTTTTGGAAATTGTGCATCTCAAAGGTGAACGAATTCTGTGATTATTTTATTAAAAATTATTATTTATTAGAGATTCGCCTATTAAAACCGTAAAAAAAGACCTGTCGAACGTTAAAATATTTCAAAAAAACGTATCGATTGAAAAAAAAAATTCACTTAACATTTTTCTGTAAAAAATGGGATTTGTTAATTTTAAACTCAATTTTTTTAATTATTTAATTTTTTTTCGACTTATAAAACTAATATTTAATTAATATATACTTAATAATTGGTAAATAATAAAAAACATTTCAAAAAAATATTTGTAATTTTGAGATATTTTTAGTTAAATTTGATTTCAACAGTTGCTAAGCAAACTCAGGCAAGTACGTTTAATTTAAACATTTTATTCTAAACGTCTTTTTTGTGA